ATTATGGTATTTGGTGGTAAATGAATAGAGCTAGAGATTATCTTAATAAGTGAAATAACCCAACCCACCAAATCCAAAAGCCAAATGTTCTCTCTGACATGCAGATGCTGACTCACAAAAGGCAGGGTGGAGGGAGGAGTGGAGGTTCCCCATATTGGACAAGGAGAAGTTACAGCAATTGGAGGACAGAAAGGGAAATGGGAATGGGAAAGACAGTAGAATGAATCAGACATAACATTCCTTCATTCACATATGAATACAAGACCAGTGTAACTCCATATCACGTACAACCACAAAAATAGAAGTTATACTCTATGTATGTATGTCAAAATACATTCTACTGTCATGTATAGCTAAAAAGAATAAATGAATAAATAACTAAATAATTTATACAATATCTCAAGTGATGCTTAAAAATCAAATTTGGTAAATACAGGAATACCTTTAAAAAGGAATAGGTTAAACATATACTATATATTGTGGACCATACCTACAGCCTTGTGCATATTAATATATTTTTACTTTTTAGTTATAGATGGACACAATGTCTTAATTTTGTTTATTTATTTTTATGTGGTGCTTAAGATCGAACCTAGGGCTTCACAAATGCCAGACAAGCACTCTGCCACTGAGCTACAACCCCAGCCCATATTGACAGATTTTTTTTAACTCCTCCAAAAAAGAAACAATAATTTTGAAGTGGTAGTCCTTTAAAGAGTTATATTAAATTCTTTTGTTATATGTAGTCATTTTCCATGTATTAGAGTATACGATGCCCATATATTTTATGTACTTATCTTCAAAAAATGAACACAAATAATTCATTCCATTTATACTTAAAGTTGTAGATAACTTTTAATTACTAGAAGGTTTTTAAATTATTTTCTACAGTAAAAATGAAATAGGATACAAAAATTATTAGGATGTTTGCAGAAGAAAAATTAAAAAGAGAAGCAACTTTAAACTAGTTTCATTTTCTTAGGAACAACAACTGGCAGGTTAACTTTCAGGAGTTAGCATTTTAAATGAAAAATGCTGACTACAATCCAGTGTCTCTCTTGAATAATGATAAGTTCTGAAACATTACCTGAGAGCTAAACCAAAGACTGAGCTGGCAGTTTCAATTACTTGGAGAGAGTGTATCAACTACATCATGTTCTCAGAGAACAATACCTAACCTTTTTCAGTCTTTGACATAAGTAAGAAAAAAAGTTACCCAAATTTTCTAGTAATATCTTAATCACATTGCTTAACATCTTAATTCATAAGAATAACTCCACATGGTCACATAATTCTACTATTAATTCTATGAGATAATCAAAGGACTTGTGACTTGAAAGTCATTAGGAAAGAAGAAAAGTACTCTATGGCAGAAGCCTATCTGACAGAGAGCTCAGAAATTTAAAAAAAAAAAAAAAAAGTTTTCTTTTGTTTATGTTTTTGAATGAATTCAGCAAAGTGACAGGATATAAAATCAACATGCATAAATCAAAGGCATTCCTGTATATCAGCGACAAATCTTCTGAAATGGAAATGAGGACAACCACTCCATTCACAATATCCTCAAAAAAATAAAATACTTGGGAATCAACCTAACAAAAGAGGTGAAAGATTTATACAATGAAAACTACAGAACCCTAAAGAGAGAAATAGAAGAAGATCTTAGAAGATGGAAAAATATACCCTGTTCATGGATAGGCAGAACTAACATCAACAAAATGGCGATATTACCAAAAGTTCTCTATAGGTTTAATGCAATGCCAATCAAAATCCCAACGGCATTTCTTGTAGAAATAGATAAAGCAATCATCAAATTCATATGGAGAAATAAAATACCCAGAATAGCAAAAGCAATTCTAAGCAGGAAGTGTGAATCAGGCGGTATAGCGATACCAGATTTCAAACTATACTACAGAGCAATAGTAACAAAAACAGCATGGTATTGGTACCAACACAGGCGGGTGGACCAATGGTACAGAACAGAGGACACAGAGACCAATCCACAAAATTACAACTATCTTATATTTGATAAAGGGGCTAAAAGCATGCAATGGAGGAAGGATAGCATCTTCAACAAATGGTGCTGGGAAAACTGGAAATCCATATGCAACAAAATGAAACTGAATCCCTTTCTCTCGCCATGCACAAAAGTTAACTCAAAATGGATCAAGGAGCTTGATATCAAATCAGAGACTCTGCGTCTGATAGAAGAAAAAGTTGGCTCTGATCTACATATTGTGGGGTCGGGCTCCAAATTCCTTAATAGGATACCTATAGCACAAGAGTTAATAACTAGAATCAACAAATGGGACTTACTTAAACTAAAAAGTTTTTTCTCAGCAAGAGAAACAATAAAAGAGGTAAATAGGGAGCCTACATCCTAGGAACAAATTTTTACTCCTCACACTTCAGATAGAGCCCTAATATCCAGAGTATACAAAGAACTCAAAAAATTAAACAATAAGATAACAAATAACCCAATCAACAAATGGGCCAAGGACCTGAACAGACACTTCTCAGAGGAGGACATACAATCAATCAACAAGTACATGAAAAAATGCTCACCATCTCTAGCAGTCAGAGAAATGCAAATCAAAACCACCCTAAGATACCATCTCACTCCAGTAAGATTGGCAGCCATTATGAAGTCAAACAACAACAAGTGCTGGCGAGGATGTGGGGAAAAGGGTACACTTGCACATTGCTGGTGGGACTGCAAATTGGTGCGGCCAATTTGGAAAGCAGTATGGAGATTCCTTGGAAAGCTGGGAATGGAACCACCATTTGACCCAGCTATTCCCCTTCTTGGACTATTCCCTAAAGACCTTAAAGAGCGTACTATAGGGATACTGCTACATCAATGTTCATAGCAGCACAATTCACAATAGCTAGACTATGGAACCAACCTAGATGCCCTTCAATAGATGAATGGATAAAAAAAAAAATGTGGCATTTATACACAATGGAGTACTACTCAGCACTAAAAAAATGACAAAATCATGGCATTTGCAGGGAAATGGATGGCACTAGAGCAGATTATGCTAAGTGAAGCTAGCCAATCCCTAAAAAACAAATGCCCAATGTCATCTTTGATATAAGGAGAGCAACTAAGAACAGAGCAGGGAGGAAGAGCGTGAGAAGAAGATTAACATTAAACAGGGATGAGAGGTGGGAGGGAAAGAAAGAGAGAAGGGAAATTGCATGGAAATGGAAGGAGACCCTCATCTTTATACAAAATTACATATAAGAGGAAGTGAAGGGAAAGGGGGAAAAAAAAACAAGGGAGAGAAATGAAGCACAGTAGATGGGGCAGAGAGAGACGATGGGACGGGAGGGGAGGGGAGGGGGGATAGTAGAGGATAGGAAAGACAGCAGAATACAACAGACACTAGTATGTAAAAACGTGGATGTGTAACCGATGTGATTCTGCAATCTGTATATGGGGGAAAAATGGGAGTTCATAACCCACTTGAATCAAATGTATGAAATATGATATGTCAAGAGCTATGTAATGTTTTGAACAACTAATTAAAAAAAGAAAGAAAGAAAAATAAAATAAAATAAAAGGTTTTTTTGGTTTGTTTATGTTTTTTTGGTGCTGGGGATTGAACCCAGGGCCTTGTGCTTGTGAGACAAGCACTCTACCAACTGAGCTATATCCCCAGGCCCCTCTGGTGCTTTAGTCCTGATTATTCCTGCTGTACTGGATGCTGTACTGTTGCAATCATGCAGACACAGTGAAAACAAAGATACCACCCGCTTAGGGGATGGCAGAAAGAAACCTACTGAACAATTTTACTTAAAATTCTAAAACAGTTTCCTTTAACTCCAAGATGCAGTATTCTGATAAAGACCTTGAGAGTTAAGAGTATTAGTTCTGTCATTACTCAGTTACAGTTAGATAATAAAAGTTATCTGAGTTCATGTTTAATGCATATTATCATTTCCTTTTGATTTCATCTAATTCACACTTGATGTGAGCAAACAATAAATCTTTGTGTAGATAAAAAATTGGTATCCTATGATTTCATAATACATAAACTCTTTTAAGATGTTCTATTCAGCAACTGAGCCAATATATTTTACTAACAAACAATCTGAGAGGGAATGGTTCTGCAGTCTTCCCAGGGAGAATTTGATATAAAGTTTATTTGATGCTGAGTGTTCTTTTTCAACTTTCTGTAAGGTATTTCTATTTGGAGGTTTGAGAAAGCAAGAAAAATGGAATTAGCTAATTCTCTAGGAGTTAACCATGTACACTGAGCTTGAGCTTAAGAAATTTGTGTTCTTAAATCACTTTATTGGGTCAGATGCCATGTTGACCTTCATCCAATTAAAGTTCTTATTATTGTGTACTGTAATTGCCAAATTTCTTAAATAACTTTCCAACTAGACTATGTGGTCTTCTGAGAAAGGACCATACATTGCCTGACACATGGTAGAAACTCAGTATTTACTGAATGAATCAGTGTTTTCAGCTAAAGACTTCAAGATAAAATCTAGTCATAGTTAGGAAAATAATGGAAAAGACATAATCTAAATCTTCAATGAACATTTACATACTATATCTTAAGACAAAAACCTTTCCTAAACAATGCCTGTACAGAAATATATTTTTAAATATGACGACTGGAACATCTCATTACCCAAATTTCTCAACAAAATCTACAGAGGGATTTCTAAATGTCTTAAGATTTTAATCTCATTTTTTAAAAAATCTGTTTCCATTTAAGAGAAAGAAAACATCTGAAACCACTAGGTTCTATTTTCTTACATTCCTATCACTTAAAAACAGCTGAACTGATTTTTCTTTTTTTAAAAAAAATACTGACTAGTAATAAAATTCTGAAAATAGAAATTCATGAAGAAAAACCAATGCAGACTATTCATAGCAATGCTCTTATAAAATATGATTCTTTGGTTCTAATTACTTAATTTGGCTTAGAGTTGAGTATGAAGGTATATATTTTTAAATTAAATCTGTTGTGATTTTTACTCACTTCAAAGCTTCCTCAAATTTATGAATTTTCTTTTGAGCATCTTCTTTTTCTTTATCAAGTTCATTCTGCAAGTCATGAACCTGCCATGAAAAGAATATGTGAAATTTACTAAAAGACAAGTATACTCAAAAGAGAAATACAAATAATGAAACAGTAATTTCAAATCCACTTGTAGTATAAAATCAGATTTAGACACTTTAAGATAGAAATTTAGTCAGCCATAATAATTTACCATGGAATGATTTCTATACTATACTCCAAATATCAATTTTCTATTAAAAGCTAATGATTGCCTGAATCCACCTACATGTAGACTCTCTTAAAATTGACATGTAAGAAACTCAAAAAGGCACATTTTATTTTTTAAAATTATACTTTAGCCCAAAGAAAACACTATCATGAGATGCAAGAAAATACAATAAGTAATACACCCATCCTCCTCAAGAATAAGGGTTGTGATGAGCAGTCTTCTACCCGTCTGTTGGGTGTGATTCCTATGCCTGCTTACTGAGTTTGGAAGGATATGTTCCCCTCCCCCATTACCTCTTTCCTGAATGTAGCATCCTTTAAGTAGGTAGGATGGCAACATCAATAACAAGAGCTAAATGAAGATTTCTATTCACAAAAAGCTCTTCACAGACAATGTAGATAAGTGTACCTAATGTGAACACTACAGGGATCTTAAAATATGAAAAAGAAACACTAGCACAGCTCAACAGAAAGGCAGGAATAAAATGCAGCCTCAGTTCCACTCACACAACACCAAGGATGCAGAGCCTTGATGACAGTAAGAAGGCTCTTATGTTAGGGGGATGAGAACACCTGCTATGGATCTGCAACCGTGGTGGGACTCAAATCATAACTGGGGGTCAGTGAGATGAGAGAGGAGTGACAACAGCAATGTCAATGAGCACACACATGCAATAAGCTGTATAAAATGCTGAAGCAATGCTGGCCAAAAATAGTTACTTCTGTCAGTTTGGATGGGGACCTGTTTAACTCAAACCCTGAATGACGTGGCCTTTGCCTTATTATTTTCATTATTATGGAACTCAGGATTGACCTCTAGAGTTTTCACATATCAGGCCAGCACTCTGCCACTGAGCTACATACCCAGTCCTTTTTATTTTTGACACAGGGTCTCACTAAGTTGCCGAGGCTGGCTCCAAACATGTGATCCTCCTGCCTCAGCCTCCCCATAGCAGGGGTTACAGGCATGTGCTACTATGCTAGGTTTTTTTTTTTTTTTTTTTGTTTTTTTGTTGTTTTAAAAAGAGAGAGAGAGAGAGAGAATTTTTTAATATTTATTTTTTTTTAGTTTTCGGCAGACACAACATCTTTGTTTGTATGTGGTGCTGAGGATCGAACCTGGGCCGCACGCATGCCAGGCGAGCGCGCTAACACTTGAGCCACATCCCCAGCCCCTATGCTAGGTTTTCCTGTTCCTTTTATAATTCTCTTTAATTTTTTCCAGTTGGAATTTTAGTAAGGTAAATAAATTGATAAAATTAACAATCTCCTTTAAAACCAAAAGGAATAAGGATAGAGGAGGCAACATTACATGATAATATCAAAAACCTTCTACTGGCTGCTCTGATGGTAATTGCTAAAGCAAGAAAAATACTGAGTAGTAGAGACAAATGCAGGGTGGTAGAAAGTGTGAATGATCAGGAGAATCAGGAGACAGGCGCCCCTCTGCCCCCTCTCTTAAAAAGTAAATTTAAAATATCTCATGAAGGCTATTTTTATTCTCAAGAAAAGAAAAATCAACTTGCCTTGCAGATCTTCATCACTACATTTATTCTATTTTTACATGGGGAAAAAAATGAATTCTGTTGTTCAAAATTTTACCAGGTTGAAGACTTAAATTATTGTCTTACTTCCTTTGGATCCCTACCATGTACTACAGTACTTGGCACACAGTAAGCATGTTTAACCAGAAAACAAACATTACTAAAGTCACAGGAGCACTAGTCTCAACACAAATCTAGTCTTTTGAAGGTCTAGAATCAAATATTAAAACTCCAAATTGGAACTCAGCAATGACCTAATTTGAAGATTCTGGGAACATACATTTTTGTAGCACTAAAATCCTTTCTTGAAATAAAATCTTGCATAAATTCTCTGGCTTGGACTTTCGGCACTATGCTGACTGAAGGCAGAAAACGATGTTAGCTCTGATTTGTTACATATGGCTTTATTATGTTGAAGTACATCCCTCCTACACTTAAACTGTTTATCATGAAAGAATGTTGAATTTTGTCAAACGCTTTTTCTGCATCTATTGAGATGATCAGGAAATTCAGTCCTGCATTCTATTACTGTGATCTATCATATTTATTGATTTGCCTATGTTGAACAAATCTTCCATCCTAGAGATAAGGTCTACTGGATCGTGGTGTCTGATCCTTTTAAGGTGCTATTGAATTTAGTGTGCAAGTATGTTGTTGAGGATTTTAGCATTTATGTTCATCAGAAACACTGACCTGTAATTTATTTTTTCTTGTACTGTTCTTAGTGACAGATAGTTTTTAATTTCAGCAACTAATGCAATAAAGATTTCACAATTAAATATTCAGCAAGTAAACATTAACTTCTATGCATTTTCTAAATAAAATAGCTTAGCACATGTTTATTTCTCTCTCCTAGTCATTTTCTTTTCTATAATCTGAGATTGTTCATCCAGGTGGATGTTTTAAATTTTGAAATTTCACATCCCTTCTCTTGCAAGAATCTCTTCTGATATTTACATTATTTCACATCATGAAATATACATTTAAATGCATCTCTTTTTGATAATTTTGGCATTCACCACTTTCCATTTTCCTTAATGACATTTTTTTTACTTTCCTTATCAAATTATACATTTTAAATTCTTTTTTCACTATAACACTTTTATTTTTAATGTTTTATTAATGCATTATACCATACATACATAACAGTGAGGTTCGCTGTGATATATTCATAGATGCACATAATATAACTTACTTCAATTAATTCCCTAGAGCTTCCTTTTCCCTTTCCTACTCCCTACCCCTTTTCCCCTTCCGGGATTCTTCTGGTCTTCCTCCTTTTTAATTCATATATATGTATATTTTTCTTTAGAGCATCATAATTATACATAAAAGTAGAATGCATTGTGATATACTCATACATGCATGCAGTACATTTTGGTCGATTTTATTCCTTTATTCTTCCCCTTTTCTTTCCCATCTCCCTCCCCCTTGATTCCCTTTGTCTATTCAATCAATTTCCCTTCTATTTTCATAAGATTACCCCTTTTAAAAAAAATCTTTTTTTTTCCTTCTAACTCCTACATAAGAGAAAAAACATCATTTGACCTTAACGTTCTGAGTCTGGTTTACTTCACTTAACATATTCTCCACTTTCATCCCCAGTATCACCACACACAAAAACAAGTATACATTCAAGTACATTTTGTTTTTGAGTTTTCACTTATGCTTAGTTTGATGGCTCATTCAATAATTTTCTCAAAAATAACATCCTAGTGATATGTCTTCTGAGGCTCTGTACATGCAATTATGTCATTCTGTTACCTTCACACGTGTAAGATTCTTAGGTCATATTTTGGCCTAAAGCCTTAGAATGATGCTACTCTATTATTTTATGATATTTAAGTTTGCAACTAAAGAGACTAAAATCATATAAGTTTTGGTCTCCCCTTCCCCAGTCTGGACATCTGAGATCATTCTCTCTGTACTGTAATTCAAATTTTTTCAATCTTCCATTGATTTTTATTTGCTAAAGGGTGAATCTTGTCAATTTACATACATAGACATTCTGAAAAGTTTTCTCATGTCTTACTTATGTCTGTGTTATTTTTTTCTGAACTTTCCTTCAATTGTTGTATACTAGTTTTCTATTTCCTGACTTAGTATCTATCATCTTTCTCATATTTTTGATTCTTTGCCCTTTTCCTTTATAATCCGAAAGATAATTGTTTTTCCTTCATACCGCTGATTTAGTTCTTTATAATCTGTGCTACCCAGTGAAGTGCCCATGTGAATTTTAAATTTGCTACTATGCCTTTCTGTCTTACTTCCAGTCCTTTCTATGACAGTGCCCTCCATTTTCATGTCATTTCTTCCGTTCCTTATGATATCTGTTTCTCTTGCATGGCCATCATATCTGCTTGTACTCTATGATGAGTTCTTAATATTTCTTTTGGACTAAAACATTTTTAGAAGGAACTCTTTTCTCTGAATCTTCCCTATTTAAGTTCTTATTCCTTTACCATATTTTCCAACAGACCCCATTTTGACTTTTCTCCTGGAATCACCCCTGAATAGTATTCCCCACTCAGCTCTCAGAGCTACACTACAATTCAATGCCCAAGACAATTCCCAAGAGGGTTGTGACTAGGTTATCCAGAGATGTCTTCTCCTCATGCCACAGCTATCCTCTCTGATGCACTGAAATACCATCTGTGGAAAACCAACAGGGAACTGATACCAGAATTTCTGACAAGTCAATAGAACTCTACACATTGGGTCTGTACCTCAAGGTACCATGCTACCTATAGTTTCCCTCTATTTCCTGCTCAGTTTTTTTTTTTTTTTTGGTTGGGGGTGGGGGAGCACAGAATTTTCTGCATGAAAGCATAACTAAGAATTATCTCTTTAGGGGAAAAATTCAAAATATTAACCATTTCTTAGAAAAATCTATCCAAAATTATGCAGTATGAGTAGAGGATCTAAAACTAAATTGTATAGATTTGTAACCTTACTTTTTCTACAACTTAACATTCTCTGTCTTGGGCTGAAGTCGTGTCTCAGTGATAAGCACTTGCCTGACATGCATGAGGCCCTGGGTTCAATCCTCAGCACCACATATAAATAAATAAAAATCCATTGACAACTAAAAAAAAAAAAAAACATGTTTAAAAAAAATTCTCTGTCTTGGGTACTACCTCTGAAAATGGGGGTAATAACACTAAGTATATCAAAGACTTGTAGTAAGTTAATTAATTACTCCATGTAATTAATGTTCTTAGAGTGATGCTCGGAAAACTTTTAAAAAGCTCAATAAACATAAAAAATTATTATTATCTTCTCAGAATAAATAGTCCACATACATTTTTTTGATAATTTCAGGTCATTAAGAAGATCCAAACTCACAAGGTGCTACAATACAATAATTTCCTTGGACTCAGCCCTTTCAGAAAATAGCCCCTGAATTGTTAAGCATTCTTGAGTTCTTATACAAGTGCTTTTTTATCACTCTATTCAATCTTAACCTCTGTCAAATTTTCTCCTGCCACCTCTTGATTCTAGATGGTCTCCTAACACAAGCACCTTGATTTAATTTACTGCCTCTAAATCTATTAGAACCATTTCTAAAAGAAGAATGAACTATCTGGGAAGATGAGGGACTTCCCTCTGAGTGAAATATGGATGTGCTCATGTGCATACTTTTGAGCGGGGGGTTCCTTAAAGCTTGAAGCTGTTTCTCATTTACTTTTATGTCCCTAGCGTCCAGCATACCTGGCCCACACTAGAATATTCAATAAATGCTTTTCTGGTTCATTTTTTCATAATACAGTATTTTTGTACTGTATGATTAAGGTCTATTTGAGGTGTTATTTTTAAGTTTTAACTTATATTCAGATAGTTGTGGGAATGAAAAAAACATCAGGTTATTTAGAAATCACTACATGTTGATCTCAGTAAGAAAGATTCCAGATTAATATTCTAATTGGATTAAAGAATTATTTATTTTTACATGAAAGAAAGTTAAAGAATAAGCAACTTACAGATAAAAAAAATTTTATTTATTTATTTATTTATTTTTGAAATGGAGTCTCACTATATTTCCGAATGGCAGAGGGAAATAAGACAATGTTTTGTTTCTAATCTTTGCCCCAATATATACGATAAATAAAATGCATTTAAAAGTGATAATGATAAGAATTCAAACCAGATAGTGAAGGATACATTACATATTCTCAAATGTGTCTACCTGCTGTAAATGATTATTTTAGGTAGTCATAAGCACATTCATATATAGATAGACAGATAGTTTACTCCTTTACATCCTAAGAATTTAGAAATCAAGAAAGAAGTACCTATATAAAGGAGCAGGGGACTACTATATTCAGGAATAGATCTACTGTGCAAAACATCATGGCATGGTAAAGAGCTCAGAATTGTTCCTGCCTCAAAAACAGACCAGCTGAACAGCTCCAACATGTCTCTTGGCTGCTCTAACCTCTGCTTCCCAATACAAAAAAATAGGGAGAGTGTGTTGCAAGACTGCTCTAAATCTTTTCACTATGTAATTTCATTTTTTAACACTTTAGGAAAGGCACATAGCTTCTTAAAGAAAATCCCATCAGTAATAGTTGAAAAAAAAATTATACAATAAACACATAAAGCTATGAAAAATTGTTTTAAACAAAATTAAAAGAATTATATACAAATATTAAGTTTAGATAATCATATTTAAGTGATTTTAAACTCCATTAAAATTCATATCTCATTTGTTAGTTATATCAGAATAATTTTAAGTATATAACTCAATTTTAGCACATTTTAGAATATGCATGCTTAGCATCTGCCTCATGAATTTCTTTAGGTAAACAGCACCATCTTTACTCCCTGGTGCCTGTTCAGAAAACAAGCAACAGGCTATTTGTAGGAGGCAGGTGTTTCCTTGCTAGTAAGATCATTTAGTCTAACCATTTCCTGATTTAGCAGATTAGGACACTTCATCAAACAATGACATTTAGTTTTACTACCTATTATTTGTTTGATGTTCAAAGCTCTTAAGAGCAGGCAACAGCCACCAGAGATCAATAAAAACCATTAGATAATATGTTTGTGCTTAAATTAGGGACAGCATTTGATGCTGTTTCTTTTACCTCAAACAAATTGGAATGGTATGGTCCCATCCTGCTGCTTTTGTACTGGCATGAAGAAATAACTTAGGATGGCATTTCCTCCTCTTGAACAGATATTTAGAACTAAATTTTATGCCCAATGTTATTGAATGTGCACACCTGTAACACTGTCTCACAAACAAAAGACCTATACAATCCATTTAGCTATAAAGTTACACAGTCCAGGGCTGCGTGAGATTTATGTCAGCTCTTTGAGCAGACCAAAGGGATATTCCCTAAGGGGGGTACAAGACATCAAATCTTCAAGGCTTGAGATCACAGCAGGTTTAATAAAGAAAGAAGAATAAATGTCAATTTAAAAGGGGAATATTATGGAATTAATTGTAAAATAAAAAGTGACATGATGAGCAACATTTTCTTCCAATACAAATAATTTTAGGAAAATATGCAATAGTTATTTTATTTTTAGGGTTGCTCTGATTTTAAACAAGTTCAACATACATTGAAAATAATACACTTTAACAAATTACTTTCTATTAAAAAGCTAGGTAAACTGATTGCTCATGGAAAAGGAATAGCTACAGTTATTATGCCTAATAAAGAAAATTTAGGTCTGCTCCCTATATTTTGGAATGAAATAGAACATAAATGGTTGGAAGGTTACTGGATAAGGATGAATTGAACTCCCATATTTGCTCTCTCGTGTATATTCATCAGGTAAAGGGACTGGCCTCAGAAATTTTAGTCGACTTAGTGGCTAAATATTCCAGAAAAGATAATGAGAGAAAAAAAGACTGCCGTTTTAGGTCTAGCTCTGCATTTAACAGTCCTCAGCAGAACAGTCCTTAGCGAGAAGTTCAGGAAAGGAATATATTCTTTCACAATTTGTGTGTGCCTCTCTCTTGACACCAGCCCATCCATTTCACAGATACACATATAACCACCTCTCAGGAGGAGACTAACCATAAAGCGTAATGGAGCAAGAGGCTAGAAAGATGCTCTGTTTTTGTTTGTTTGTTTTTAAGAATTTCTTTTTTCTTTTTCTTTTTAGTTGCAGATGGACACAGGACACAATACCTTTATTTTGATTATTTATTTTTTTATGTGGTGCTGAGGATCGAACCCAGTGCCTCATGCATGCTAGGTAAACACTCTACCACTGAGCCACAACCAGACCCAGAAAGATGCTCTTTAATGGAAGGAAAGTCAGAAATCTGCCCAAAGAATGAACAATGAACTAACAAGTATACCCAGAGGATCCAGATGCTTTATACTGTAGGAAGCAAGGCTTATGATGACACATGTTCTTCTTTTGGTAAGCAAAATATTTATGAAGCCACATTGCTTGACAATAGAAACTGAAAATCTTCTTTATTTCAATAAAAGCATTACTTCACTTTCCTGTTGAGCTATCAATTTTGTAGATATAAAATATACCTAAGAACTTGCACTGAGTTGTGTTAAAATTGCAGCAGTAAGAAAATCTATTATTAATTTTAAAAAGCACAGACACAGGTCAGTACGTGTCAGTAAAATACATTTCTTAAAAACAGAAACATTTTTCTTCTTCTACATTAAGCTGTTGGAGGGCAGGGTCTATGCCTAATGTACCCACAACCTCATCTTATTATCTAATATGACACTTTGACCAGTGTAAACAGTTTATGGCTAGGTACTGGGTAACTGATTATATGGATAAGTAAGAGGTGGTAACATAAAATGTTTTAAGAATTTTTATGTAAACCACGTTTAATTTAAATTTGTATATATTTTAATTAATGGAAGGATTAACTTCTTTCTCCTTTTCCATTATAGGTAAATTTTACAAGTGTATTCATTTGTCAGAACAGCAAATAATTATAAAAGCAGCACAAAACCTTGTATTTCAAATGCCCTTCCACTGATAGCAAACAATTTCAGAACATAAGTGTCATAATCAAAAATCCATAAAACATTGTTTTTTACTGCCAAAGATGTTAATATACCCCTGGTTATTACTGATAACAAGGCTACTAACATATATCAGTAGAAATACACACTATTCTAAATAATAAGAAACGACTAATAATTTTTAAGTAGTAGTCAATTCTTTCATTGTTTTATGTCCTTTGGTTAAATATTCAATGCTCTCATTGAACATATGATAACATAACATAAAATAACTCCCATTGTATCATACTTTTAAGCTGGTAGAAATAAAATATAATTTAAAAGTATTATTATGAAAGATAATAAATTAAACATGCAAGCAGTGTTTTAATGTTGATGTAAATAATAATTGACCTGAAGAAGCTATTTATAAAAATAAAAAATAACGAAAAAATATTGACCACTGTGTGGTTGAAATCAACGTGGAAACAAATTATTCTTTAAGGGTTAAAATGTATGGCATTATAAAACTCAGACCCCATTAAATACCTCATCTGCCAAATTTTCAATGTTTTATAACTTCCCACAAAACTTATTACCTTATTCTCATAGGTGTGTTTTAATTGGCTTTTCTCCACTTGAAACTTATTTTCTTGGTCCTGTGAATAATAAATGTTTATTTTTATTATATTTAAAATTGCTATTAGAGTCAATATAATAAGCAAATCCAATGAAATCAATGAATCTATTAGATGTCAAGCTTCAGAGTTTTGAAAATTATTAGGAGAGCCCTACCTGCCCAATTTTCTAGCCTACAAGTAGAAAGTATATGAGTACCTCCATATTACAGGACCAAAGGCCTTAGCTGTCTGAAGATGTTAACTGTGCTCAAAAGTGCCTACTTTGCAGTAAAGTGTAAGAGGAACTTTTCAACCCTTAGGATTAGGAGGTTAAGAATGGCCAATTGAGTCAATATGAAAATAACAAATTTGAAGTTATATCGTACACTAATCTTTGGTACTTTTTGGCAATGAGAGAAAGGAAAAATCCAAAAGGTAAAAGAAAAAGAAAGAGGAGGACAAGGGAGATTATGAAAATTCGTAGATAATTTAAAAGAGAAAAATTATTCTGAAATAACATACTTAGATAGGGTTTATTTTTTAAAACTAACCTCAAAAGAGAGATCATTCAAATTAAAACTATTGTTCTTTATTCTGTACATGTTATTAATATCCAATTCTTCAATTTAAGTAAATAAAATAAAATTTAAATTATGCAGTGCAATAAAAGAATCAGAAAGGGCTATCTGCTATATGGTTTGTTTTTTTAATTGACTTTCATCTTAAAACATAAATCAAGGAAAGGAAAGGAGAGTTTGGGCCATTGTTCTGGGTAAAAACCCAAGTCTCACCTTTAGTTGCTGCTGTCTTTGAAGTTCTGATTCCTGTAACTGCTGTTTTAATTGACAGATGTTCTGTTCTAATCCTTTAATCATATCAGATGCCTGAAGGATTTTAATAAAAACTCAAATATTGATTTTTGCACCATCTTATAAATTCTGATTCAAAAAATATATTCGTACCCCCTGAAAATTCAATCAAAATTTAAATTATCTAGAAATATAAATAAAAACTATTTTAATGAACGGAAAATTAATTTTTTAAAAGTAAAAATATAAATTAAGTACCAGGTAGTATTTAATGTTACAAATGTAATACTGACATAAAAAATAGGTTTAGAGAAAACTTCAAAAAATTATAACTATAAAACTGTTAGAGTCTGTAAACAAGTCTGGATGGCGCCTGGCATTTTGCCAGAGGGAGTGGTTTGTGAAGTAACGCCAGCGAGCCATTAAGTGTGGAGATTCCTTATTGGTTGACTGCTGTATGGAGTTTATGTTAATTAGATAAGCTGTGTGGAATGTATATATACCCCTCCTGTCCTACAATAAACGGCTCCCACTCCTGCTGTATCAATCTACACAAGTTGTTCCTCACCCCCCGGTTATTTTGCTGCAGCTGGACTGCGGCATAAAACTATGGAGCTAGGGCTGGGGTTGTGGCTCAGTGGTAGAGCGCTCGCTTAGCATGTGCGCGGCCCTGGGTTTGATCCTCAGCACCACATAAAATGAATAAATAAAATAAAGGTATTGTGTCCAATCACAACTAAAAAAATAAATAAATGTTTAAAAAAAAAAAACTACGGGGCTGTTGTTGTGGCTCAGTGGTAGAGCACTTGCCTCGCATGTGTGGGAACTGGGTTTGATTCTCATCACTACGTATAAATAAATGAATAAAATAAAGGTCTGTCAACATCAAAAATAATATTTTTTTAAAAATTTAACTACAAAACTAAAGCAGAGTCAAAATTTCAAGACAATAATAATATATATCATTACTCAACAAAATACATTAAAAAAACGACTTCTCAGAATTTATAGGTTTCCTCCTTTTAAAACTTTCATACTAACAAGGGTTAACTTACAGAAGAATGTAATTTATAAACATTTATGTTGTATACTCTATCAGACATTAACATTTTCAACATTTTAAATAACAAAAATTCTCAAAGTTCCCATTATTTCAAGAATAAAGTGATGGTAACAATGTCAAACTCCAATTAGCTTCTACATGTCTGTCTATGGCTACAGGCTGAGCAAAGAAAATAACTACTTTGTGTAGATATATCTGTCAGCTTATTCAATACCTTTGAAGCTGAAAGAGCATGTTCTTGTTTCAGAAGGCTTATATCTGCATCATGTTTGCTTTGTAATAGTTTCATGTTTTGCTCATAATCATTCATAAGATGGTCTTTTTCTTTATGCAGTAAGTTGCGCCTAAAAGCAAAAAAAAAATAGATTTCTAATATTTTTAGAATCAATCTCTAAAGTGGAATTTTTTAATCATCTAAATCTATTATACTTAAAAATGTCAAATAAGTATGCACATTTTTATTAACTGTAAACATATGCCTCTTATGTTTAAAGAGGACTTTAAGATTAAATGTGCATGGTATGATTAATTTTTACAGATTACTTATACAGTTACTATAAGTACTTTGTAGCTACCCTAAATAGATATCTGATTTCAGAAAATACCTTGCCTTTACTTCTTGTAATTCACTACATGTTATCTGGTAACATCTTTCAAGTTCCAATTTATCTTGAATTAGTTTCTGTCTCTGTAAATTACTGTTCTCTGCTTCTCCAGTCAGTTGCTGGACACGGGCCTCCAGTTCTTTAACCATGTGGTTCTAAAAGAATAAGTTATTGTTGAGAAAGACTTTTACTTTTGTATAACACTTTTGTACCATTAAGGAGCCTGGAAAATAAGTAAATGCATCATAAATGACAATAGTAAAAACTAAATCAACCTCTAACATCTTTTTTAAAAAATGCTTTCTACCATAAAACTAGAAACAGCACAGTTACATGCTTAAAGTCATTCATTAAATTAAGTGAATATTTACTGAGTCTGCAAATATTCCATGAAGCAGGAACGTGGCAGCATATAGGACAAAGTCCCCATCCTTAGAAGGTTAAATTCTCTTCACATCTCTTTATTAGTTTAGGTTCATTAGGTGAGTACTTACCAGTGCCCTTTTCTCATCATTTGAAGCTGTAAAAACTTTTTCAAATTATAAAACAATGTAATCATTTAAGTATAAAATCTATAACTCTCAAATTTTATTACTAGGATTATCACATAACCAATATACTTTTTATTATTTAAGTATATATAAATATTATATTACAGAATTATAGTGTTAGTACACAAATTTTCATTCTTTTTTGAATATCATTTCCATTTTAGTAAAAGTTTTTCTGTATTTTTTCCACTGTATTCAAAATTTTCTCTTAACTAAATCATTCATCTATCATTTGATATTTAAGCTATTTTGTATTCTTTACCTTGGTAGGACTATAATTTAAAACCTTAACAAAGGTGCTTATGACCTCTTAGGTACTTTATATTTAAAAATAAGGTAGCAAGCATTAGCTGGAGGGATGACTGATTTTCATTTAACAAGTAAACTTCTAATGTGTATGAGTAATTAGGAAAGATGTACTATGTTCCTTTTATACAGTTTCTAAGATACACATTTAAAATAAAGTTCAAATATTAAATAACATTAAAATCTCACATCTTTTCATCCTCTCATCCCTTCTTCATTACCGAATAGATATAAAGTTAAATTTTGGTGTAACAGCTTCCAAATATGTAAAATGGAAATCATTACATCTACCTTAAAAGCACGTCAGATAGATCAAATTTTAATAAGTGACACAATTCCTGGCTCAGAGCCTGACACCTATCAGATGTCCAGGTTCATTCTCAAGCACTCTATTTACTTTGGAGTGCTCTTGTTCAGGAATCTCTTTCAGAAGACAGTTTCAATTTTCTAATACACATTCCCATTAAGAACAACTGAAAGGGGCTAGGGTTGTAGCTTAGTGGCGGAGAACTTGCCTAGCACATGTGGGGCACTGGGTTCAATCCTCAGCACCATATAACAATAAATAAATAAAATAAAGGTACTGGGTCCATCTATAACCCGCCCCCCCCCCAATTTTTTTTCTTTAAAGAACAACTGAGCTGGGGATATAGCTCAACTGGTAGAGTGCTTGCCTTGCCTGCACAAGGCCCTGGGCTCTACCCCAGGCATGATTTAAAAAAAAAAGAACTGAAAGACTAAGAACTTTTTTTTTATTAGTTAGGTGTTAGAGGCTGTGCAAGGAGGGTGGTAAGGAGGTCAAAGGAAGAAGCTGCAGAGAGGCTCAGCATTCTCCATTTGCTTTTACCCTGGAGGCATTTTCCAGTCTTGGAGGATGAGGGCAGGGCAAGGGAATAGAGCATGGCCAGAAAAGCCAGGGTTTGAGAAGTCAAGATCCCTGAGAAAAGGCATGCATGGTATTTAGTCAGCTTTTTCACAGCTGTGACTCAGAGACCCAACCAGAACCACTATAGAGGAGGAAAAGTTTATTTGGGGGCTCACGGTTTCAGAGGTCTTAGTCCATAGGCAGCTGGCTCCATTTCTTGAGGCTTGAGGTGAAGCAGAACATCATGGAAGAAGAGTATAGCAGAGGGAAGTAGTTCACATGAACATCAGGTAGCAGAAAGAGAGAGAGACTCCACTCACCAGATACAAAATATATACCCCAAAGGCATGCCCCCAGTGACCCACCTCCAGCCACACCCTACCCGCCTTAGGTTACTACTCAGTTAATACCACCAGGGGATTAATTCACTGATTGGGTTAAGGCTCTCATAACCCAAATCATTCAACCTCTAAGCCTTCTTGCATTGCTGCACACATGAACTTTTGGAGACAAGCCATAACACATGGTGAAGTGAGGGATTTTGTGTGTAATATATAGAGAGAATATAGGAAATCCAAAAAAGGGATAAATATATGCCCCATATGAAGAGAATTTTTTTTAAATCTATTTCTTATATACTTTATCCTAATGGAAAATAAATATATGATTATAAAGTATCAGAAAATAACCTAATTGCTAAAGAAATTAAAAATGCAAAGGGCCCAAATTGATACAAATAAACAAATCTACAGACTTTGCCTAAGGAAAGGGGGGTTTTATCAGCCAGAAAATCCAGACAGTTCTCCTTCTATAATATGAATAATTGAATACTATAAAGATGAGAAAAAATGCTGATAAAAGTATAAACCATTTTTTTATGAGAAAAAGAAAAAAAGATGAAAGGGAAAGATACCCAACATTTCAGAGAAGAAAATGATGGACACTGAAATAACACTGTGACCTCAACTGTCTGTCTGTCATTGAACAGAGTAAGAATAATACAGTGAACCTGAAATTTTAACTCAGGAGTTATCAAACTGATCAAAAAACTATTATATCTAAAATAAGAATCCAATGGAATATGCTTATTGAAAAACAACAGAACAATTGGAAAGTGGGTCCTTTTCATTTTCCTGCTCAATGTTGCGGTGTGGACACTAGTCACTCTTCCTGAATATAACTATGCTCTATAAGAACTGACAAATACTAACAAGAAGTAAGCATCCCTGATGACAGTGGTACTTTTTCACCCTTATTATCTCCTCCATGTCTTGGCAAACCTTTAGGTTCCTATAGAAAAATAACAAGTATTGGTGGCACGTGGAGAAACTGAAACCCTTGTACACCGCTGATGAGAAGTAAAGTGACCTAGCCACCATGGAAAAGAGTATGAAGATTCCTCTAAAATTTGAAAACAGAAATACCCAATGATCCAGCATTTTTACTTCTGGGTATTCATCCAAAAAAATTGAAACTAGAATCTTAAAGGAAATATTTGCCCTTTTATGTTCCACTCCAGCTATTCACATTAGCTAAGAAATGGAGACAATGTAAATGTCCGTGCATAGTGAATGGCTAATACAATATGATACATACATACACAAAGAAGAAGGAAAATTAACCATATGCTGCAACTTGGATGAACCTTAAGGACATTACACTAAGTGAAAGAAGACAGTCACAGAAGACAATGCTGCATAGTTCCAGTGATCTGAAGTACCTAGAATGCTGGAATACACAGATACGGAAAGTAGAGTGGTGCTTGCCAGTTGCAAGGAGAAGGAGAAAGCAGGGAGCCTATTATTCAATAGCTACAGAATATCAGTCAAGGAAAATGAAAAAGTCCTAGAAATCTTCTGTACAACATTGTGTATATAATTAAAGATACTGTGTTGTTAAGAGGGTAGATCTCATGCTGCATTTTTTTAAAATGGAAAGAAAAACAAGGTATATAACTTACCACATTAAAGACAAATATTTGTAAATATCTTCCCCAATTGAATACCCAGGGTCTCATGGACCACCAACATATTTTGATGATGACAAGAGCCGCCTCTGAGTGGTCACTGTAGACCAGGCACTGTGCTAAGTATTTTATAAGGTTTAGGCCATTTAATCATTCCCCCAAAACTATGAGGTAGGTATCAGAAATATAGTTTCAGATATGAGCAAAACTGATTACCTTGCTCTTTTACTTGTTCTTTTAGTAAAATAGTAAGAAGAAAAGAATTTGGTTCACAATCTCCTGAACCAAAATTCACTCCACTGTTATAACATCTCCAAGACTACAATATTCTGCTCATAAGATTACAGAAAATGAATCTGCTGAAATACCATAAGAAGAGATAACATTTTATAACAGAAGGTATACAAAGAGAAGCTAAATCAAACTTTGGAAACAGTTCAGGTCCCTTTCTTAGTCTCTCAAATGTTCTTTACTTCAATCCCTAGTACTTAAAAAAAAATGTTACATTATTAAACATTTGCAAGATATTTTTTTTATTCTGTAATTTGAGGGCAACAGTGTTTTATAGCTTGGAACTTCAAAAATAATAAAGGGCAAGCTAGTGAAATTCTATCCTATCTCAGCATTATCAATACTAACTCAGTATTAGCAATATTTAGTTTAAGTGAAATGAGACTCAGAAACATGATATTTTATAAGAAAGAAACAGCAGAAGAGCAATAGAAGTAATAATCTATTACCACAAAATATTCCCTAAATATGCTGTTGAAATATAGATTGCTCATTGCCCAATGATTTCTTAAATATATACCTTTGTTAGCTTGAATTAATAAAGTCAAAAGTCATCAGTTTTAAAAATGATAAAAATCATCTTTGAGAAATCAGTTTTAAAATATACAACTAGAATGCTCTAAAAAGAAAATCTTAATATCTATTCCCCTAACACCCTTGCAATAAGGTTAGTAGTTATTATATGATTATCTTATGGCTCTCAAATTTCAAACTGCATTGACTAATTCTTAACCATAATGGGGATTAACAGTAAAATCAATTAATTCTATATTTATGTATAGTCTTTCCCCCATTTGAAAAAAATCAAATGATCCACCCTGAATTTATCATAGTTCCCACACGATATGTTCGCACATATTCCCATAATATGCTTATCTTTTTATAACCCCTCTTACTCCAGCACTCCATAAGTATAAAAAACATATTGCAATTACTTCAACAGCAATGAAGATGAAGAGAGTAAGCCTAGAACCAGTTCCTTCAGCATATCACTCAGCACACTCCCTCAGGCTCCTCGTACATGATGTCCATGCTAACTGCAGCATAACTAAGACCAAATTTTACCAGGTTATCAAATATTATTTTTCCTGAGGGTCCTTAGCAAATAATTCAAAGAATGTATAAATATGAAACATATTTTATGTGTGTTTATATATGTATAATCAATTATTTATA